GAAGTTATAAAATCATAAAATCTCATACCCTACCACAAATGTTGTTAGTCTTTAAGCTGCTACTGGACACTTACTCTTTTCTACTGCTACAGGCAGACTAATGCGGGTACCCATCTTGATCTGTCTCCATGGAAGGCACTGCATTTAGCCGTACAGAATGGAAATCCATGATACCTGAAGATGTGAACAGTCACTCATGAAAGCTCATCCCATCTTGATCTAAATTCCACTGCTATTTGCAATGGACATGGCAGCTCCCTGTTTGTACCAGGCATAACTCATCAGAAAATGTGACTGCAGTAGGGTTTTTTACGATGATTTAATTTTAACATAGAAATTTGTTCAGATGTTAAAGATGCAATCTCTTTTATTATTCATAGATTATTTCTAACTTTAGGAAAGTTCTTTATTTTTTTAAAGAGAGAATCTATCCCAAAAGTCTGTAATACTGATGTTTTGTTGTCTGTTTCTACATTTGAAATATGTAATACATTTGATAATACATCTGATTTTACTTGTTGTATGTAAGAACTTGAATTAAGCAAACTCCGGAACATGACGGAAGACAGGAGGGCCTGACGTCATGTGGTCCATTGGGTCGTGAAGAGTCGGACTCAACTGTGCAACTGAACAACAACAAAAATGTAAGAACTCATAATCTCTCATTATATATAATTGTGTTTTTCGGTGGCACTTTGCTGAACATTCCATGCGCTCTGGAATCAGTTGGCTTCCTGATCTGTCAATCAGAAGGGCTCCCTATGTACTGGCTGCATTGCCTGAGTCCCGCCTCCAACATTCTAAACAGTTTGCTGTTCCTATCCCTCCCCCATAGCCAGTCAGAACACACAGGTCATTTGCATATGCGGCCTGATTGGCCTTCGCCTCTAACATTCTAAACAGTTTTGCTGTTGCTGTTGGGAGTCACTGAATGTGTCCTGAGGTAAAATACATATCCCAGTCTTCCTTTAAATCGTCACTGGAGTTGCCAATCTCCATGTGAGGTCTGGAGACCTCCGAGAAATCACCGTGTTCCCCAGCCACAGCACATCATTTCCTCTACAGAAAATTTCACAGCTATTAACTGATGTCCAGATGACCAAAATCAGTTCTCCTGGAGACAATGGCTGCTTTGGGCAGTGGACTCTTGAGCCACCACAGCCCTAATGGCGGTATACGTTCTGTAAAATATTTGTGTGTTTTGGGTTCCAACATATTGTGCCAATGAGTTTTCCAGTCACCTGACGAATTTTTGGCTTTGATAAAGGCTTTGAAGAAGGCGAAATGAGGAGCAATTGGACATCTGTTGCCGTTACTAAGTCATGTAGTTGAAATTTGAAGCCTCAGGAGGCAGGCACAATTGTTTATGAAACTTGTTTTGGACTGTGACATTATCTAGTTGGCTCGTAATAAAGTAATACGTTTTGCAGCATTGTGTTTATAGTTTTGCCAAGCTGAATGGCTGTAATTTGAAACTTCCAGGTTGCTGACATAAGTTTCCATGTGACTGGATTGTTAAATGTAATTGTCTTCATTAAAGTATTACATAAATTACTGTATTGTATTGTTTTTTGTGGGGAATGAATGCATTTTGGATTGTGGCTCTGAACCTAAGTTGTATAAAATATTTTTTTAAAATAATAACATCTAACACATTTGATGATATTTGTAAGAAATTGTATTTCTTGGATTATCTGTTATAAAACCTGTTTGCACCGTGGTTTTCTTTCCATGTGTTCAAAGGAGGCATTCAGCCGGAGGTTTTGGTCTATCTCTGTGGATGATCTGTTGGAAACCCAAGGTCTGACTCTTACATTAAGGCCATACTTGCACAGTCATGATGGTGTTCACTTCTCTACCAAGGAAATGTCACATTTTCTTGACATATCTGCATCACGGGTTGTATGACATTATATTCAACGGGAGGGACAAGGGGTTATTAAACTGAGCCTGTGGTCATACGTGCCATTTGGTGCACAGGAGAAGCGGGCCTGTTTCCCCTGGTGAAAATTGACACAGCGTTCGTTGCAAGATCACACATCCTTTGTAGCTGCGGGCTCAGCCCATCACTGCCTGGTCAGACGGCACGTGGCTGAGTGTTGTTGTCGCACCTCTGCACTGAGGGTTCCCCATGGAGTATGCGGTTATACGCATACTGCTAAGCAAGGGGGGGGAATGGCACAAAAACAGGATGGAGTGAGCAGACCATCCCAATGGCATGAAAGCATGCTTGAGCGATTACACAGGGGAAAGTCCGTCCATAGCCCATTGGCAAGCATTAGGACACATTTGTCATGAGACAAGGATTCCAGATGTGACCTTGTTTCGAGATGTTTTTCAATCGTGTCTGTTGTATCAGTCAATGTATCGTATCACAAAAAGGACATGTTCACATGATTATCATGGACCCAAAAAGGGTTCACAGTCTGGTGTATAACGATCCACATAAACAGGCTCTCAACTAGATAATATTAACAAAGGTGATAACTCAAATGTAACTGCTGTAGTTGGAGAATGTCAGGCATTCGCAGCTGAGTCGGATCTAAAGACACGACTGACCATGGCGTTGGTTAATTTCTCCATGTAGCAGTGAGTGGATGGATTACTCAATATGGGTAGAACAAATTGGCAGTGCCCCGAGACACTGAAGGAAGAAGGGGCAGACCCAAAATAGCCCACCATTCATTACTCGGCAAGGTGGGTTGGGATTACAACACTCTTACCACTGAGTAAGATCAACTAAACAATGGCTGATTTCGCACTAGAGCTGCCTCGATGTTGCGCCGCCGTTTGCCCCGATACTATTGGTCAATTTCACACCCGAAGCTGCAGGGCTGCATTTTGACTCGCAGCTTCGCCCGATTTCCCTTGCAGTTTCATGATCCTGTTTTTTGAGGATCACGAAACCGCGGAGGAAATCAGGCAAAGCCGCGGGTCAAATGCAGCCCCACGGCTTCTGGTGTGAAACTGACCAATAGTATCGGGGCAAACGGCAACGCAACATTGAGGCAGCTCTAGTGTGAAATCAGCCAATGAGTTGTTTGAAAAGCATGTTCAGGGAGATTGATGAGATTTGGCACTCCTTGGCACCAGGCACGGGCAGCAGAAGAACTGAATGTCCACCTCCACTACTGAAAACATGACTTAACCCAAACCGAATCGAATTATGCATCTGAAGATCTGACTGTATTGACAGATATACAAAGATATACTCATTTTTGGCTCCTGGCTGCATCGAATTTTTCTGACCAAGCAAGAAAGGTATATGATTGAGCCACTGCTATAGGAAAGTGTGCCTGACCATGGCAGTAAACTATCCAGAATGAGGCCTCTGATTAACATCTTTGCCTTTGGTCAAAGACAATAATCGTTAACAATTTTCATCTTGGTCAATTTGCGTTCTAATATCAGGAGCCATTTTGTAATATCACTTGTTTGACCACTGAGGAAGGCCAGTTGTCTAAAACAGGTATGGTCAGGGTCCATAATGGTGATTCTTGGTTGTCACTGTATAATTTGATTTCTATTTGAGCCTTTCACCAGGGCCAGTATCTTTTTTTAAAAAATTACTTTGTAATAAATACATGTATATTTTTGAATATCTGTCAATATTTAATGTTTTTAATTTGACTAACAGAATCATTGGCCTATACCTTAGATCTAATTAACCTTTAGGTTCTTAATTCACACCCACTACTGACCATGTTAGAGACGTCCAAATTTTGGTATCTACTAGGCTACCAAGTGCCTAGCTAACTATGAATGATGTGTGAGGATGCAAATCAGCTCCTGTTTAAAGAAGAAGAGATTGGATTTATACCTCACCCTTCACTACCTGAAGGAGTCTCACAGTGGCTTACAATGTCCTTCCCCTTCCCACAACAGATACCCGGTGAGGTAGGTATATTTTGTATAAGTAGTTAACAATGTGGTCGAGGTCCAGTCGTAATGATTTACCGAACCGCTTTTACTTAGATTTATTGTATTTATGTAAGTTGTTTTATGGATTAATGTTTTATCTATGTTGGTTTTATTAATGTTGTGAGCCACCCTGAGCCGCTTCACCGGAAGGGCGGGATAAAAGTTGAATGAATGAATAAATAAATAAATAAATAGGTGGGGCTGAGAGAGCTCTCTCAAGACCTGCTCTTTCCCGAACAGCTCTGAGAGAATTGTGACTGACCCAAGGTTACGCCAGCAGCTGCATGCATAGGAGTGGGGGATCAAATCCGGTTCTCCCAGATTAGAGTCCACGCTCCTAACCACCGCACCAAACTAACCACTACACCAAAAGAAGTTTAACTTAACCCCCGTCTCCATTTGGTGATGGTACAAAAACTGTTTCCATACAGCCACTCAGTTCTCATTTCCCAGAGGCTTACTCATTATTTTGAATTGACCTTTAGGCCAGAACTTTGTTTAGAAAGGCTTATGAGATTGTGCATCATGCTTTGGGGATTGTAGAGCCTCAAGATCATCATGACTGTTCCTTGAAAGTTATTGTACCTTGACGTGGCAATGAGACCTTTCTTCTCAGTGGTCCTGCCATTCCACAAGAATCCAAACAGTCATTGCAGTCACATGGGTTTTGTTTTGGGCCTTGGGAAATGATTGAGTGGTAATTTGACGGAACACATGTAACCCAGACAAATGAGGGTGAATCTGATATTTCTGAAAATATGAAACACTCAGTACCTGGGTTGTGGTAAACCTGTCTGTGGATCCAATTAAAGTAATCCACTAAAAGTGCCCTCTGGTCAGACCTGGGAATCACACTGTTATTTGTAGATCACAGGATTCATCACGCATTACGTGAGTGAATTCTCTCCTGGGCGATACACTCCTCAGTGACCAACATGTATGACCAGAGAGCACATTGTTGACAATCATGCTTTGATGTCTAACAAGCATCGTACTCTTTGGCGATGCCTCACTTCCTCTGGCCAAAGCTCACGGAGCTGTATAAAAGGGGGCGGCCCACTGAGAGCTCTTCACTTCCAGAACTAGGTTCACAAGCCTGACAAGTTTCTACCATGGAACACAGGTATGTGCCATTCCATTGGCCATTGGCCACTGTTAAATCTTCCACTGTGAT